GTGGCAAGAAATGCCAATTGCTGTCCTACTTATTAGGAGTATTATTATTTCTAAAATATCTAGCCCAATACGCTAAGTAGATGGGCTTGAGCGAGACGATCCATATAGGCTCATAGTTAAATTGGGCCTGTATTACCTACTATTTTTGGGAAAGTGAACAAGTAATAGTTCCCACTGCCAAGTCAACTTTACTGAGCCCATCGTAGCTACACCATCATCTCAATTGACCGTGACAGCATCTCCGGAATTGATCAGTGATAACAACCTTGGACCGACCTTTCTTTTTTTCCTGGAAAGTCAAGCAACAATCTTGGACTTGGTTAGCGGGTGAAATGATACACTATTAAATGGACTAATGGTATAATGAAATCAGATCATGGACAACATGTGTCATCGATTGTGATAGTGAGTTTGTTATTTATTTTGGATATTTATTAACAGTGAAAAAAAAAAAAATTGCATATAGTTTCAAATATAAATTAAAAGGCGCGTAATTGCTTTAAAATATATATTGAAACATTTATTAAGTGCAATTGGAATATTAAAATGGTAGTACTATCTCTAAAATTTAAATAAAGCAGATTTAATAATTCATATGTCTATTGAGTGACACTCTATATGAACTCCAATATTTATCTCCTTTCAATCATTCATATATATATATATATATATATATATATATATATATATATATATATGAGGATGCAGCAAGTGGCATAGGCCAGATATAGTTCGCTGGAACGGGATCGGGTCGAACAATTGAAGTATGGCCCATGCCAAAGCACCTCGGAATGGGCCGAACCTGGAGGATCCACCGAGGAAGATCAAGCCCATTGGAAGATCAGGCCCAGAAGGAAGAAAACTTTTGAATATAGGCCCAATGTAATCAGTTAACAATAATAATTGTAATGGTCTATAAATAGACCATTACAGGTGGATAAGAAGGGAGGAATTTTTTGGAAGAATTCTAGAGAGAGAGAGAGAAAGAAGAAACGAATTCTTGCATCTTCAATTGGCGCCGTCTGTGGGAAACGGAGAAGAAGATCAATTCGAGCCCGATCAGTACCATATTAGTTCAATCAAGTTTGTGAGTGCACAGTGTGATTTCTGGAAGTTGAATCCAGATCAGTGAGATTGTAGTTTGTTCAGAGAGAATTCTTGCTTATTGTGGATTCTGAGGCATTTGCTTCGGAATGGCGCAATTGTGATTTGCTCAATTGCAGTCAGATCTGGTGAGTTCAAAGCTAGAAAAGTTCAGATCTAGCAAACAGTGATCACGATTCGGTGAAGTTAAGCCCAGATCTAACGGAGTTTGCATCGGTGACGCTTAGATCTGTTTCGAAGTTCGTAATTCATGCCTTTGCTTCGATCCGGAATCACAATAGGGGGTAATTCAACCTCTTGATGGTGCTGGGCTGTCTCCTCATTATTGTTGGTATCACCATCCTCACAAGGTGGAGAGTCGAGGTGAATGACAGAATCGTTCTGTTGAGTCCTACCCTCAATAGCGTTGGAAGAATCATTCTGCTGAGGGTTATCTTCAGTAGTAATAACAGATAGAGTCAAGGTGGACAGAGGAAGAATGTCCAAAGTCAGAGCAGCAGAAGGAGTATGAGTGATCCGAGAAGAGGCAATCTCTTGGCATTCATCAAATATGCCCTCAGCAGCGGTGGAGTCTGGATCGGCATAAACACCAGGAGGGTCAATATCCAGTTCTTTGTCAACATTATCAGGGATAGAACCGGTCTGACCCTCATCCGGAACACTATTGGCATAACCTTTTCGGAACCCCTGAGCATATCTGAGGGCTCCAACTCTAGAAAACCGAGCATGCAGAGCTAGCATACTACTGTTTACCCTACTGATGGTATCGAGTAAAGCGTTGCGCTAGCCCAAGGCCCTCTTCTCAAAGGCCATCTGAGCGGATTGCTCATCACTTAAAAGGCGTAGCAGTTCTTCCTTTTCAGCCTTAAGGGATTCCCGCTCGGTATGCCAGGTACTCTTTTCGAGCTGCAATGCATTCCTCTCTTCCAGAAGAGAGTCAGTCTCCTTCCTCAGCGAATCCCCCTCCTTTTCAATCTTACCAAGCTGAACCATCAACCCGGTCTTCTGAGCAGCCAAATCATCGTTCTCCTTGTTTACTGCATTAAGGCTGTTAGAAAGCGCATGGACCTTGGCATTCACAAGCTCAACTTGTTTCTGCATAGCCATCATCCCGTACAGGGTCTGTAGAGATATACAGGACAACTGGTTAAGCCGAGCAGATGGTTAGAAGAAAATAAGTGTAAAGACTGTATAAAGACTTATTAACTAAGGGGCAGAAGTTACCTCCATGGTGGATAAGGGAAATCGGCTGAACACTTCCCTCTGGGACAGACCTTTGGCTACCTCAATGTCCTTGGGAGTCCACATGCTCCTGTAGTAAGCCATTACGGTCTGACCATCTTTGAACATGGTCTCGGTCGGTTTAACAGACGATCCGTCTGTTCGAATGAAGTGAGGGTTCCATGGAGTCGTTCCTGAAGCGGAGGCATGCCCAAAAGGGGTAGGGGACCTAGTCTGAGGAGGTCTCGCTAGGGATATCACATTCGGCCCAGAGGGCCTAACCCTTTGAGACAAAGGAACATCATCGACACCGAGGGCACTATCAGGTTAGTGCCTTTTTCCTCTTGCCTTTTCCCGTGCGGAAACAGTAGTAGAACCAGGAGGATTGCTGACAAAAGGGGTAACGTTCGGACTGGCGGTCGCTGTGTTAGCGACCGGGTCAGCAGCCGTCACGGATGGATCGGTGGAAGGAGTGGTATCAAAAAGGGTTACAGAGGAAGATGCTGAAGCTGGTAAAGAATTTGATGCAGGGGTGATAACAGGCCTGGGGGCAGTTTTCTTCCTGCCGAAGGAAGGGATATGGAGTTGGCTCATTGTCTTGCCGAGGACTGAGATATCGAGGAAATTGTCTGAGGTGAGGAGGTCCGAGCAGGAGGGAACGTTGGTCAGAACGTACTGCTTCAGGTAGTTATCCCTATCCCTGCACACACCGTAGCTCAAATCATCACAAGGAATGCCTAAGGAATGGCACAAGAAAGTACAAAAACGAGGAATGCAAATCTCGCAAGGACAGTCACTCTTATGGTTTTTATATTTCTTGTAAAAAAAGACAGAGCACTCTCCAAAAGTGCTCAGGATAGGGAAATCCTCCTCAGCTGGAGAGAACCAGGCTCCCCTAACCCCAATTATATTTTTCCTCCAACCCTTCTCGGATTTGATTTTATCCGTGCAGATGGACCTCTTCTCAATGGGAAAAAAGTGGTAAAACGGTTCATCAGTTCTGATCTTGCTAACCTTGTAACAGAGGAGAAGATCTATGAGGTCCAGATCCAGACCTCTGTCACGAATCAGGAGTAACATAACAGACAAAATCCTAAGGAAATTTGGGTTTACTTGCAAAGGGGAAATATTTAGCTTGTTGAAAACATAGCAAAAGAAGGGATGCAAAGGAAACCTAAGGAGATTAAGATGGAGGAGTGAAAACAGGACCTCGCCGGGAAGAAGGCTAGCACCGGTTCTAATATTCACCTCTCGGGGGCAATTTCTAATTTCTACATCGTCAGGGAGGTGAAGTTTCATGCGAAGAACGTCTAGATCTACTGTCATGGTGAGAATGAATGAAGATTTCGAGGAGAAGAAAGAAGTCTTCCAAAAGAAAAATGCAAATGAAACTAACCTCAGAGAGTGAGAACGGCAAAAAGTACTGCAAGGCCATTGGAAGGAGGATCTTTTGCAAGAGATCGCCGGAAAGGATTCGAACAACTGAAAGTGAGATGGAGACGGTAAAGAGGATTGATGGAACATCTATGAAGCTTATAAAGACAAGGTGAGCTCAAGGGCCGAGGAGTCAGGAAAGCGATGAGTTTTTTGAATCTCGAAATGCCGACCCCTAAATCTAACCGTCCATTCTCCCACGTGATCTTCTCGAGCCGTCAGGTTATCATTAGCAGCCTCTAATAATTACCCCATAATCAATAAGGGGTAATTATGGGGGCAGTTGAGGATGTAGCAAGTGGCATGGGCCGGATATAGTTTGCTGGAACGGGATCGGGTCGAACAATTGAAGTATGGCCCATGCCAAAGTACCCCGGAATGGGCCGAACCTGGAGGATCTACCGAGGAAGATCAAGCCCATTGGAAGATCAGGCCCAGAAGGAAGAAAACTTTTGAATATAGGCCCAATGTAATCAGTTAACAATAATAATTGTAATGGTCTATATGGTCTATAAATAGACCATTACAGGTGGATAAGAAGGGAAGAGTTTTTTGGAAAAATTCTAGAGAGAGAGAGAAAGAAGAAACGAATTCTTGCATTTTCAATATATAGAATTTCTTGTCATTGATTCGTCAAGCTTATTTATTAAGGTAAAACAATTATGACTTGAAATAGGTAAAGGTTTCCAATTTCTATCTAGAAGAATTCTAGAGAGAGAGAAAAAAAAGAAAAAAGAAACGAATTCTTGCATCTTCAATATATAGAATTTCTTGTCATTGATTCGCCAGGCTTATTTATTAAGGTAAAACAATTATGACTTGAAATGGGTAAAGGTTTCCAACTTCTAATTGCTTATTACTATTATTATTTCTAAAATATCTAGGCCAATACGCTGAATAGATGGGCTTGTGCCAGACGATCAATATAGGCCCATAGTTAAATTATGCGTATATTACCTACGAAGGCTACGATTTTTGGGGGAAGTGAACAAGTAATAATAGTGCCCACTACCAAGTCGACTTTGTTTAGGGTTTCAACTTAGCCTAGCTACACCATCGCTTTCTTTCTAAATCAAGCAACAACCTTGGGACTTGGTTAGCGCGTGATATGATACACTATTGATTGGACTAATGATTTAATGAAATCAGATCATGGACAACTTGTGCCGTTGATTGCGATAGTGAGTTTGTTATTTATTTTGGATATTTATTAACAGTGAAAAAGATGAACAAGTCACTAACTTGTTGGAAGTGCACTGTTAGTTAGAAAATAAATTATTTTATCCAATTTAATATGGCAACCCAACCATGAAACAAATTCTTGGCTAACAGGTGTAGTATACATGGTTGAGCCAACATCTTATCTTATTATAATCTCATACACATTTCTGGGAAATCAAGAACTGTTTCCAGACTCTAGCCATGTTCTCCAAGCTTCTAATATTACTACTGCTCTGTAGTAGTAGTACTCTTCTTGGCTTAGCAGCCACTGAAGAAGATCTTGGTTTCACCTACAATGGTTTCCAATCCGCCAATCTGAGCCTTGACGGCGTGGCCCAGTTCACCCCCAATGGCCTCTTGATGCTCACCAATCACACCGAACAACAAACGGGTCATGCCTTCTACCCTTACCCAATTAATTTCAAGAATTCCCCAAACACCACTACTTTCTCCTTCTCCACCACTTTCGTCTTTGCCATCATCGCCCAGTATCCACTAGGGGCCGGTCACGGAATTGTTTTCGTGATCGCACCAACAAGAGGCCTCCCCGGTGGTCTTGCAAGCACATACCTTGGTGTTTTCAATAAGACCAACGATGGCAATTCCTCTAATCACATTGTCGCTGTAGAGCTCGATGCAATTGAGAGCAAGGAGTTTTATGATATTAATAACAACCATGTTGGGATTGACATTAATGGGTTGATTTCCAAAGTAGCCGAGCCAGCAGGCTATTATGATCCTAATAATGGTCGGTTCCAGAACTTGACCCTTATTAGTGGCCATCCGATGCAACTCTGGGTGGACTATGATGGTGTGGACAAGGTCATGAAAGTCACACTAGCTCCTGTTCATGTCCAGAAACCAAATACTCCACTTTTGTCCTTTCAAAAAGATCTTTCGTCTGTAATCAATGAAACCATGTACGTTGGCTTCTCATCTTCCACTGCTGCTATCCTAACCAACCATTATATATTAGGATGGAGCTTCAAGATGAATGGCCAGGCTCAAGGGCTCGACCTCTCTCGACTTCCTAAGCTTCCTCGAATTGGACCAAAGCAAACATCTCGAGTTTTGACAATTGGGTTGCCTGTGATTTGTGTTGTCTTAGTGTTAGCAGTGGTCTCAGGCACAGTTTACTATGTTAGAAGGAAGAGGAAGTATGCAGAAGTACTAGAAGATTGGGAGCTTGCCTATGGACCTCATAGATTCAAGTACAAAGATCTATATATTGCAACCAATGGGTTCCGAGACAAAGATTTGTTGGGAAGTGGAGGATTTGGAAGGGTCTATAAAGGTGTATTACCTACTTCTAAAATTGAAATAGCAGTGAAGAGGGTCTCTCATGAATCTAGACAGGGTATGAAGGAATTTGTAGCAGAAATTGTTAGTATTGGGAGGCTACGCCACCGCAACATAGTTCAACTCCTGGGCTATTGCAGGCGCAAAGGAGAGTTACTTTTGGTGTATGATTACATGCCCAATGGAAGTTTAGACAAATGCTTGTATGACCAACCGGAGTTCACCTTGAATTGGAGCCAGAGATTTCGAGTCATCAAAGGTGTAGCATCAGGGCTTTTCTATCTGCACGAAGAATGGGAACAAGTTGTGGTTCACAGAGATATCAAGGCTAGCAATGTCCTGTTGGATGGAGAATTTAATGGGAGATTGGGAGATTTTGGCCTAGCAAGATTGTATCGGCATGGAACAGTTCCTCAAACGACCCGTGTGGTTGGAACATTTGGGTACCTTGCCCCGGAGCACAGTAGGACAGGCAAGGCCACAACGAGTACTGATGTGTATGCTTTCGGGGCATTTTTGCTGGAGGTTGCTTGTGGAAGACGGCCAATAGAGCCACGAGCACCAGCTGAGGATATAATATTGATTGATTGGGTGTTTGGTTGTTGGAGTGGAGGTGACATTCTTAGGGCAGTTGATATAAACTTGGGTACCAACTATGTGAAAGAGGAAGTGGAGTTAGTATTGAAGCTTGGGTTGCTGTGCTCTCATTCAGAGCCGGTGGCTAGGCCAACAATGCGGCAAGTTGTTCAACATTTGGAGGGTGATATTCCTCTGCCAGAGTTGTCATCGCTTGGCATAAATGCCACTGGACTAACATTTGGGCACCATGAAGGCTTTGATGAGTTTGCAATATCATATTCATCTTCTATGGGGAAGCCATTTTCACAAACCACCTCTTCTTCTGTTGCAGAATCACTTCTCTCTGGAGGCCGATAATATTAGACCATATATTTCAGTTGTTAATCTTATGGACAATTGAAGTATTTGGTGAACCATATAGGGTGTTTTTCTTTCTTTCTTTTTTTTTTTTTTTTTTTCTTTTTTTTCTTCTTTTTTTTTCCCCTGCTTATGCTATTGGTGTGACGTAGAATAATGTAAATCACAAATCTTCTGGTTCCAATCCAAGTCTCGAATGCACAGGTAAAAGTTACATAACTCCATTTTGTTTCAGGAAGACGTTATTGCACACGCAGATCATTGATATTTCTCTTTCCCTCCCTCCCTCTATCTCTAAAAAAATCCTCCATCTAAATTAGAACTGTTTACAATTTATATGCTGTATTTTGGGTAGATTCACATTTTACACATCACATATATCAAGCGAATGTTAAAAGAGCACAGGAAGGAACATCAATGATGACTATCTACACTAATGACATGAGGTGAGAGTCTATTTTTACAAACCAGGGGTAGAATATTTCACCGAAAACTGTTCTATAAAATATATATATACGAGAGAGAGAGAGAGAGAGAGAGAGAGAGAGCGCTAACGATGGACGGTACTAATATGCAGTAGTCAAAGAGAGCAGTCATAATGGACTACCAGTTGGTATCTTCATTATCATCTTTTGACTCTAGGAAACTTACAGTCTTTAAACATTTTTAATCTATTAATCACTCAATAAACGAAAAAAATCTTGATTTACTAATGGTTATGCAGTTGGGCTATTAATTAAGGGGCTCCATTTATTTGTTTGTAAAATATTTTTTGATATTTAATTATCATAAAATAATTAAGAAAAAAAAATATTAGAATATAATAAAAATAATTTATTCATTAAATTTTAATAAATTATTTTATACACCTTGAATAGACTCGACTTTGACAAATGCTAAAAAATTAATAATAATAATAATAACAATAAAAAGTATTTTATCAAAAAAATAATAATAAAAAATCTGAAAAAAATAAACGGAACCTAGTAAGTCCAACTTTAGACGTTTTCTTAATATCAAAGTCCATCCAATGCCCTGTCAACCAATCTGAGCATCATGAAAAAGAAAGGAGAACCCACATGGCTCCATCCTGCCGTATCTTCCACGAGGCGGGCGACTTTGACTTTTATGTGGGATATGAACTTGCAATAATAATTGGTCACAAATTACAAGTCCAATTTGTGGGCGAACAATTCATTTTATTAGACAGGTCATGCAGAGCAACAAAAACAATTCAGACATGTACGACAAATTTGTTAATTAGAAACTTCTTCTCATACTTTTCAATGTACGATAAAAAACGCGAGGAAGATGAAGAAGAAGACAATTTTTTTTATTACAAAACAAATTTCCAATTATGCTATCCCACACTTATTATTCCTCTCTCTCCTCGTCATCAAAGTGGCTTCGACAATGGTTTCATTTTTTTAATGAAAAAATTCAAAATAGTCAAGTGGTTGAGTTTGCAATAGATGGCCTTCTCAAGGTCATCATGAAACTTCATGGAGCTTAGGATATAATTATTTTGATTCAAGTTGGGGGGATGCAAACGACACGCAACAGGTGCAACTAGGACCGGTCCTAAGATTAAAAAAATCTTAAAAAGCCCTAGGCGAATTTTAAATATAAGGCTCTCCACACATAAGTTTCACATACGCAAAAAAAAAAATAAAAAAAAAAAAAATAATAAATAAATAATATATTTATAACAAATTCATTGAGTTTACATAATTTTTTATTTCTCTATATATTATAACTTTCCTAAAACAATTATAGTATTTTCTTTAATTATTAAACTTCAATATATAGAGAAATTTGACACTTGACCTAAAAGATTTCTATTCTTTTCTTTTTAGGGCTCCCAATTTTTTTTTTCTTTATACATTATAACTTACCTAAATATTTTATTTTCTTATATCATTAAACCTTAACAAATACAAAATTTAATAGTGTGCGCAAAATATTTCTATCCTAATATTATCTTTTTCTTTTTTCTTTTTTTTTTTTTCATCCTTATTACATCAGTATATATACACACACATTAAAATTAAATATTGTATTAAGCCGCCCTTTATATATATATATATATATATATATATAAATTGGATCTAAATAATTGTAAGTTTTTGATCAAAATGAAGCAAAATGGCTGTATAAAATGGTTAAAAAATCAGTACCCAAGAATGGCAAGGAGGCAGATTCTCCAAAGGATTCTAAAACAGACTACATAGAGAGTGGAACAGAAGAGCGAAGACGATGATAATGTTATGTTTTCAATTTTCTGGATTTTGAACATTTGATTTTTGAGAAATAAAAACTTTTAATTGTTACAATTGTAGTCTTGCAGAGCAGAGAGAGAGAGAGAGGAGGTAACCGGGTAAGCTGAGAGTTGAGAGTCTGTTGAGATTCTTGAGAATGAGAGTTACGATAATGGAGATTGGCGGTTCAAATGATTTGCTGGCATTTGCCTTTTTTTTTGTCTTTTTTTTTAAGACCCCTTAAATGATTTGTTGGGTTACAATTTTTTTTTTGGCCTATCATTCATGGGCCTATAAATTTTGAGGCTCTTTAAAAAATTTGTTGTATTTGGTTACAATTTTTTAAGTTTTGAGGCCCTTTAAGAAATTTTTTTTTTTGATGGCCCATCATACATGGGCCTCAAAATTGAGGCCCCTTAAAATCTGAGACCCTAGGCGACCGCCTTGGTAGCCTTGAGCCAGGGCCGGCCCTGGGTGCAACACGATCATTTTTTTTTTTTAAACACGTACACGGAATAAATATGCCAAAAATAAAAAATTAATATAATTATTATATATATAAAACAATATATTTTATTTATATAATCACTAATTAATTTAGAACTTAAAATTAGATGGTTGTTATTTTTGTTTTTTTAAATTTAATATTACTTTTGTAATTAATCCATAAAATATTTTTAATTGCATTGAATCCCACTTTTAAAAATAATTACAAAATCACCCACCATATGTTCCCTATCAGTGTTCAAGAAAAAATTAAAAATTTTAGGACACTTCTACACGTGTCAAAGTATCCGATACCCTTAAGTGAAGTGTCGGTTCTATTAAGAATTCAAGAACTCATCAACTGATAATGCTCTTTCTATCTCCACTATGTTTATATTTGTTCTTGAAATTCATAATCTCACTGAACTTAGAATAGCTTTCATAGTTACATTCTCAAAATTCAGAATCTCACTGAAATTAGAATGGTTTTCATGGTTACACACTCAAATGGCATCCCTCAAGCTATAGATTCCAAGGGCGGAGCCCGTTCCCGTCGACTATATTATATATGGTTATTTTTTAAATTTCTTTACATATATATAAAAATTTGTATATAATGCCCAGTAAAACTATTTTAATTTTTAAAATTTTCTTTAATTTTTCCTTACTTCCCTCTTTAAATCCCTTTAATTTTCTTTAAAAAGTAAGGTTTTTCTATTTCAATCACACAATTCTTTTTGTCATTCTTCTTTCAGATTTCTTATTGCCAAGTTGGCATAATAATTTAATGGGGACGCAAATCATCTGCTTTGCGATTCCCATGCTGTTTCCTACAGTGAGCGGTAAGTGGCCTTGGTTTGGCCACATTTTACTCCACTTAATAAACACTAAGACTGTATTTGACATTTGCACCACTATTTATAAGTAACATTTCACCACCATTTATAAGTAACATCACAGAAGTCTAAAAGTAATATCACATAGTCTAAAAAGTAACATCACCACGATTTATAAGTATCTTCACCCTCAAAATGTGGTGATGTTACTTTTTAGACTATGTGATATTACTTTTAGACTTCTGTAATGTTACTTATAAATGGTGGTGAAATATAAAAATAGTCTAAAAAGTGACATCACCACCATTTATAAATTTCAGAATCTGGGAATTGTATATTGTCATTAATTCTTTCTGTTAAAACAAGTAGTATTCCTTTATTAAATTATTGTAGTTAAAGCCTCTAAAAAAAATTGTATTTTTTGAAAATGCAAGCACTACAAGTAATTTCATAATTTGTTGAATATATGCTTAATTTGATTAATTTATTTGTGGAAATTCTAAAAATTATTCTAACCCTGGTTGATTTCTTAATTTTATTTTAATTTTCTTAGTTGAGAGTGTTAAAATTGCACAATTAGATCAATTTTTTCAATTGGGTGTCTAAAATTTAGGCCAAAACTCGAATTTGCTGAATTGGGTGTTACATATTTAGATGTATATATATTTTTACATTTCACCACCATTTATAAGTAACATCACAGAAGTCTAAAAGTAATATCACATAGTCTAAAAAGTAATATCACCACGTTTTGAGGGTGAAGATACTTATAAATGGTGGTGATGTTACTTTTTAGACTATGTGATATTACTTTAAGACTTCTGTGATGTTACTTATAAATGGTGGTGAAATGTTACATATAAATAGTGGTGTAATTGCCAAACACAGTCTTAGTGTCTATTAAGTGGAGTAAAACGTGGCTAAACTAAGGCCACTTACCGCTAATTGTAGGAAACAGCATGGGAATCACATAGCAAATGATTTAAGCCCAATTTAATGGTAACAGATCATGGACTCACATGCTCAGTCACAGTGACAAAGTCACCCGTCCGTGGCAGTCTAGTCCAATGTATATGGTTGAAAACAAATTTTGTTATTATGTGAGACCAATTTTATTATACCATTCTCACTTAGATATAGATGCATTCTCATTTAGTTAGAGTTTAGTATACCCAACTCAACAAATATCTTCTCCTATAAGAACATTTATTTCCCGTGTAGACTGGTCCACTCCCAGTGGACAAATGACTAACTAGTGAAACAATGAATCAAATGTTACATTGTCAAAAGGAGATGGCCAATCCCAAGAAGATGTTTTTTTATTTTATTTTATTTTATTTTATTTTTATGACCTGGGAACCCTCACCGCTACCTCCCTTCGAGTTGAAGCTACAAGGTAAATCCTCGGCTGTTGACGCCGATTTTACATTGTAAGTAACTGTAACGACCCTAAACTAAATACCAAAAATAATAAAAAAAATTTTAAAAAATTTCGGTATGATCTTCGCTAAAAATGGTTCGACAACAACCTATTAAAAAAAAGAAAAGAAAAAACGGCCTTTCAAGACCTGCCCCAACACATAATACAAAAGAAATATAATGCATTCCCCAATGCCACAATATCAATAACCTTCCCAAATTAACCCATCATCGTCATCCCCTTCAACTTAAGCATTTATATGGTCTTAGTTTATAACAAAAATAATCAAGTATCTTAGTTATGTTACAGGGCCATGATTTGCAAAAATAAATACTCTTTTACATAGTTTGAGACAATACAAAAAAAAAAAGGGCGAAGATACAAAAGATAACAAAATACAACTCCTAATCTTCTTCAAGCTTGCGGGGGATTGTCATCCGCCACTTATTTTTCAAGCCCTGAAAAATGTTAAATAATAGGGATGAGCAAAATTGCTCAATAGGTAGTGCCTAAGGCACACCTCTTGAGACCCCGTGAATCCACATAATGAATAGGAATAAGGAAATTAGGATCATACCATGCCGGGGGCAAAAGTATAACTACGATACCACATCATTAATCCAATACCACAAATAAATATGCCATGCACTGAGATACCGTGCCATGCAATGTCACTCCCTATTTTCCCAAAACCATTTCCATTATCATTTCCAAATCATTAGTGAACCCGTCCCATGGCAACTCCATGGAGGCACGAGAGGAGGATTGGCCACTATCCCTGACCCATGGCAACTCCATGGCGTCATTTGGGGCCCAGGTAACTCAACCACACTAGGGCGGTCTCCCTAGTCCCGTTTAGGCCTTACTATCGCAGCGGTCCCTAGGCAACTCCTAGGCGGCCGGGTTTTTCACAAAATTCTTTTCAAAATTCTTTCCCAAAATTCATTTTCTTTCTTTCAAATCAATTTTTCCCATTCTATCTCAATGAATGCATATATGTCTTATGCATTTCAATGACGTACCAAGAAATTTTTTTTTATTTCTTACAAGTCAAATATTTACAATATACATGCCTCATAGGAATATTCTAAGAATTTATATCATGCTTCAAAATCATAAAATTCAACATATAGGTATGAAATTTAATATCAATTTAACATGGTCCTTTATCACATAACAACTAACATATATATATACACATCTCATATACAACATATAACAAATATGAAAATAACACAAATTAGAACACAAATTATGAAAAATAATTCACCAAAATCTAAGAGATTGTGGATTAAACACCCCTACCTCAATTTAAGTCAAAACCCCTAATTTCTACCTCAAACCCTCAAAATGGGTCAAGATTTTTCGGACACCCTAGGTTGCTCAAAACTGAAATTGCTGGTACACACGTGTAAAGCTCGCCATGCTCTCCGTTTTGCCGCAAACGGCACTTAATATGACCAAGAGGTTGCAGATTAATCAAAGCTTTAAGGTTGCAAAAGAAAAAAGAAAAACAGTACACACAGAGAGAGAAGATGCGGCAAAGAGAAGAGAATTTTTTTTTTTTTTTTTTTGATGATCTGTTAACCCTTAAGCCAAAACATAACTTATAATAGGGTGGGTCCCATAAAACTTATTTATAATATTATTATGTATATATGCAAACGAATTGAAACATTACATTCTCCCCAACTTAAAAAGATTTCGTCCCCAAAATCAAGCCATACCTGAGGAAGAAAACAACGCTGGGTACTTGGAGCGAACCTCCTGTTCGAGCTCCCAAGTAGCCTCCTCGACTCCGTGGTGTCTCTAAAGAACTTTCACCATTGGTATCGTCTTATTCCTCAACACCTTCTGCTGTATGTCAAGGATCTGAACTGATCATTCTTCATAGGAAACATCCTCATTAATGTCCATATCAACCTAACTCAAAATGTGAGATGGATCCGGCTCGTACTTCCATAGCATCGATATATGAAAGACATTGTGAACCCTGTCCAACTGTGATGGCAAAGCAAGTCTGTAGGCAACCTCTCCTACACAGTCCAAAATCTCAAAAGGTCCTATGAATCGTGGCGATAACTTGCCACTCTTCCTGAACCTCAATAACCCCTTCCATGGAGAAACCCGAAGCAAAACGTGATCTCCCACCTTAAAGGATATCGGTCGTCTCCGCTTATCCGCATAACTCTTCTGTCGGTTCTGAGCTGTATGTAACCTCTGTCTGATCAGCTTAATCTTCTCAGTAGTCTCGAGTACTATGTCGGGTTCTAAGGCGGCGGTCTCACCCACCTCAGTCCAACAAACAGGAGACTTACAAGGTCTACCATATAATGCCTCAAATGGAGCCATCTGGATACGCGCTTGATAACTGTTGTTGTAGGCAAACTCAATAAGCGGTAGATGATCTTCCCAACTACCACCCAAGTCAAGCACACATGTCCGAAGCATATCCTCCAAGATCTGGATAGTACGCTCCGACTGGTCGTCTGTCTGTGGATGGAATGCCGTACTAAGATGCAACGCTGAACCAAACGCTACTTGAAGTCCTTCCCAGAACTTCGAAGTGAACTTGGCATCCTTATCTGAGATAATGGTTACTGGAACTCCATGTAACCTTACAATTTCCTTCACATAAAGTACATTAAGCGTCTCTGCATCATCTGCTGCCTTAATAGGCAAAAAGTGAGCCGTTTTGGTCAATCTATCAACAATGACCCATACGGCTTCATTGCCCCTCCGTGACCTTAGAAGACCTATCACAAAATCCATAGCAATATGTTCCCATTTCCACTGTACTACAGGTAATGGTTGCAACAAACCAACCGGTCTCTAATGCTCGGCCTTCACCTGTTGACAGGTAAGGCACTTAGCCACAAACTGAGCAACATCTTTCTTCATCCTGTTCCACCAATACTGACGTCTCAAATTGTGATACATCTTGGTACCACCTGGATGAGCTACAAAGCGGGAAGTGTGAAACTCCCGTAAGACGTCCTCACGACAAACTGTGGGAACTACTAACAAACCCTTGGACCGTAGACCCCCATCTGCATGCAAGGCCCAATCTTTCACTGTCTCACCACTGGAGATCAAAGTGTGAATGACATCTAAATCCGGGTCTTGTCTCTGTGACTCAATTACTCGTACAACAAGAGTAGGCTGAGCCACAAGACTAAACAAGAATGCCGGCTCACTGTCAACATCGTCATCAAAACAATACAATCCCATCTCTGCTAAATCCTTAAGCATCTTCCACTTCCGAATAGCCAAAAAGGCCAGAGTCCCACAAGATTTCAGCTTAAGGCATCTGCTACCACATTTGCCTTACCCGGATGATACTGCAAGTCAAAATTGTAGTCCTCCAAGAACTCAACCCATCTTCTCTGTCTGTTGTTCAAGTTCTTTTGGGAGAAAAGGTACTTGAGACTTTTATGATTCGAGTACACCTCGAATCTCTCACCATACAAGTAATGTCTCCAACACTTCAAAGCAAATACAACTGCCGCTAACTCTAAATCATGAGTAGGGTAATTAAGCTTGTGAGTCTTTAACTGTCAAGACTCATAAGCCACTACTCTACCATTCTGCATCAACACATATCCCAAACCATCACGTGAAGCGTCACAATAAATTACATAACCCAAGCCACACTCAGGTATCACCAACACTAGAGCTGTAGTCAATCTTGTTTTCAACTCCTAAAAAGATGACTCACATGCTTCATTCCACACAAACTTAATCCCCTTCCGGGTCAAATGGGTCATAAGAGCCGCTAAACAGGAGAAAGCCTTCACAAATCTCCGATAGTAACCCTCTAGGCCAAGGAAACTCCGAATCTCAAAAACATTCTTGGGTTGCTCCTAAGTCAAAACTGCTTCAACCTTTGATGGATCTACTGACACTCCACCTTCTGAAACAACATCCCCCAAAAATTTCACCTCCTGTAGCCAAAACTCACATTTCTTATATTTGGCATACAATCGATGCTCCCACAAAATCTGTAATTGGATTTCGTGCTCCTCCCGAGATTGTGAATACACAAAAATGTCATTCACGAAAACTACCACAAACTAGCCCAAGTAATCATGAAAGACACGGTTCATCAAGTCCATGAATGCCGTTGACGCATTAGTCAAGCCAAAAGGCATAACAAGGAACTCATAGTGTCTATACCGTGTATGGAATGCTGTCTTTGGGATATCCTCATCCCTAACCCGTAACTGATAGTAGCCAGACCTTAAGTCAATTTTCGAAAAACAACTGGCTTCTCTCAACTGATCAAACAAATCATCTATCCTTGGCAAATGATACTTATTCTTGATGGTGGCATGATTCAACTTCCGGTAATCAATGCACAACCTTAAAGAACCATCTTTCTTTTTCTCAAACAAGACCGGTGCTCCCCACGGTGACACACTCGATCGGATGAAACCTTTCACGCTCAAATCATCAAGCTGCCTCTTTAATTCTTCCAATTCAACTAGTGTCATACGATACGGTGCCATAGAAATTGACGCGGTACCTGGCATCAAATCAATAGTAAACTCCACTTCTCGGTGTAGAGGTAACTCTGTCAAATCCTCCGGAAACACATCCAGAAAATCACGAACAACTGCAGGATAATCTTCTTCCAGAACATCATCTTCTTCGGCTAGAAGACTAGCCAAGAAGTAATCACCACGACTCCGTCCACGAACCCCATAAAACGATGAAATGTGGGAATCACTCCGATCTCCCACGAAAAGAAACAGTCTCCCTCGGGAGTGCAAACTGTGACTCTACCTCTAAAACAGTCGATCGTGGAACGAAAGGAAACTAACCAATCCATCTTGAGAATGGCATCAAAGCTAGTCATCTCCAGAAGGATAAGGTCAAATACAAAGGTCCACTCAGCTATCACAATGGAACAATCCCGCACAACTCGACTCAAAGACACTGAAACCCCAACTGGCGTATTAACACACAACGCCTGATCCATGAAACTGACATCTACCCCGATGCAAATGCAAATGATGATGATATGAAGGAATGAGATGCACCAGAGTCAAACAAAACACAAGCCCAAGAATCAAACACTGGAAATATACCTCGAAGAACTGACGATCCAGGAGATGCATCAGTCGGTGCAAGTGCAAAGACACGTCCCTGTAGTGCCTGTGCCTGAGAATTGCCAACCTGAACACCTGACTGCTGCACTGACATAGTAGGAGTATCCCTCATAACTGGCCGTAAACCCTAAGAGGACATGGCAGGCTGTGATGGTGGTGGTCTAAAACCTGATTGAACCATAGCCAACTATAATGGCCTCTGTTGTGACCCTCTACCACTACCGGTGCCTGCTCCCTGATTAGGACAATTCTTAACCTTATGGCCCTGTTGGCCACAACCAAAACAAGCCTCAGAATTAACTAATGTCTGTGGACACTCTGACTTGTAGTGACCCGGCTGATTACAACGATAACAAATGACACCACTCTTGGCAGACCCTGCTGGCATAGGAGTGGTAGGAGCGGATCGTGCTGACTGCTGCCCCTGAAACTGAGATGAACCACCCCTGTTCCTTTTCCCTGAAGGTTCCTCTGAAAATGACCCTGCATTCCTCTTTTGCTTCCACTGTTCCCTTCTTGCATCTTTATCTTTGGCCTCCGCTTCTAGCATTAGTGCCCTTTCCACTGCCTCAGAATAAACCTTAATGCCCTGTGCTATTAACAACGGCCTCATCTTATAGTCAAGTCTGGAGATAAACTTCCGAACCTTATCAACTTCATTACTCACCATCTCTGGAGCAAAGCGAGAGAGTGAGGTGAACCTGTTCTCGTATTCCACCACCGACATATTGCCTTGGATAAGGCCAATTGGTGCGACCGAGCGTGTGCACAAAATAATGCACAACACTTTAGGTTTAGAAATAATGTCAAGTGGGCACCATATTTTAAAATTTATAAAACCACTAAACACTTATACTATGGAGTATGAAGTGAGCAGGGATCGTCCCAAGAGATCTAAACAATTATAGGTTTTCCAGAATTGAATTCTACTTTAATGCTTATGTGATTGCCAAAAGGGTTTTGTTTGTGATTAAAACTAATTTTAAACTAAATGATTGCAATAAAGAAATAGAGTTTAAGAGATTGGAAAGAGACTTAGGGTGTAGGATTCACCACTAAGCACATTCCCTAACTCACTCACTTTCAACTAATTGGGGAAATAATACTATGTAATCTATATGTGGCTAACAAGAGTAATGAAAAGTGTAAACCATCAATTTCAAGCATGAATCAACTACCTAATGACAATTAAACTAAGTGTAGTGCAATTCACCCATTCAAAGCATGATTTATCAATCCAAGTTACAAATTTAACACACATTAATCTAGAAGATAATGCAATTGTGACAAAAAGTATGGAATTCAAACATAAGTATGGATGGTCTACTTACCTAATAATTGAATTGCAATTAAATTAATTAAACTTAAATTAAACTAATTAAACATGAATTTAAAACTAATTAAACAACAAATTAACCTAAACATGTAGTACCATCCATCAAATGTAAGCATTTTTCATCAATTTGAAACACAATTACAACTAAGCAATACCATGCATAGCCATCACAAGAATCAATTAACAAAGAATTCATGTGTAAAATTTGTTTATCAATCAACCACACATAAGACAATATGAGGTTAATACAGATAATCAATTGGAAGAATTTAATTCATAATATTCAAGACTATACACTAATTACATAAATTAATCCCCAAAAAGTATGAAAAGAGAGAGAGAATAGGTTACATGCTTAGGGTTTATCCAACCCTAAGTAGAAGAATCAGCCACTCATGGTTGATGGAGTCGAAGAGAGGACAATCCCCATCATCTGCTTCATCTTCTCTGAACTTTTCTTCCAAACCCTAGCCTGTTCTTGCTTTTTCCCTTTATTCGCGTGTTTTTCCAGAGAGAAAATACGATACTACGATACAGAAAAATAAAAAATAAAATAAAACTTTTTTTTTTTTTTTTTTTTTTTTTTCTCTAATAATCTTTACCTAAATAAAAACTAAAACTAACCCTAATCTAATGGCTCACTGGGCCTTAAGTAACAATCTCATTAAAGCCCAACAGTTCCCAAAATGAGCCCAAAAATTAAATAAAAACTGTAATGTTGCTAAGTCCTGGGGGATCGATCCCCCACCCTGGGGATCGATCCCCCCAGAGTTGACAAATTCCTTTAAGCCCTATTCAGCTCCATTTTTGCCCCGGCTATTTGGTTTGCTTCTCCATCTTTGGGAACATCATCAAAGGCCCGAAATTGACCGCTTTGTGCCATTGTCTGAAAATCTTCGCTTAACTCCAAAATGGCTTAATTGGACTGTTCTTAGCTCATTTTAACTTTATTGCCCTGAAATACACATAAACATAAATTAGGACTAAAATATAAAATTAAGATAGATGCAAAGACTGAAATACCTTAGCTTAGGTGCTGAAATGTGCAACATTTAAGCACTTATCACGCCCCCAAACTTAGATATTGCTAGTCCCTAGCAATAAACTACAGCATGGAAATGAAACAAACATATATACGATTATGAACTAATAAAGCAAATAAAGATAACACCACTTTCGTAGGGATCACGGTTGCATTTAGCATATGCAACAAGCCTTTTAAACCCCTAGGTTACCCCTAGTGGACGAGTGAAGTCTCGTGAGGGTTTACAGAAATGGTACCCACAAATATCAACAGCTCTTTCTTACTTGAGAAGTAACGACACATATTAAACAAGTGTTGAAAGTAGACTACCTCAAGTATGCAAATTTCTGCCATTTCTAAGCTATTCTCAATATTTCAACATCATGTAAGCAAAAACGGTCATCCACGCATCAATCAATTAATCATGCAAATTGAATCAATTATATCATCCTTTTAAGTGAACCGGCATCAAAATGTGTTGTTATCCTAGCAAATCAAAGTAATGGCATAGCCTTACCCTCAAACTAGCATGCAGATATAGTACCAACCATCAAGACATTGAATGAACCTTGTTATTTAATCAAACATTCTTTTTTTTTTTTTTTTATTGATTTCATTTTTTATTTTTATGTATGACCATGTGCAATGTCCAAGTTCCTTAAGCTCTCTAATCACCCCATGTAACAAGCGTTGAGCCAACGACTCCCAAACCAGATGGTCTTAGGGCGTTAAGTGTAAAGACACTCCTAAGGGCGTAATGACTCGGAATGGCTAGGCTACGAACTCAAACTAATCATACATCTTACATTCTTCCCTTGTCTTCCTTTTTAATCAGTTGACATGTTGAAAGAATGCAGTTTTTTTTTTTTTTTTTTTTTTAATTTATTTCTTTTCTTTCCTTTGCAAGGTCATTTTATCAAGAATGAAAGCTTTCAAAGCATACTAGCTCAATTGGAACAAACCAAAACAATAATCAACTAAGCATGTACCCCACAAATTGAATGCTAGTGTGCGCAAGTGCAAATGTAGAATTCTAGAATCAACTCTCAAAGCATTTTCAACCAACAAGATGATGTGTACCACAAAAGCAAACATGATGTCAAAAATTAAAATTTACCCCTAAATGGCATCCTAGAGCATACAAGAAGTATTAGACTCTAACAACTTGTTTTTTAAAGGCACTATGCTTCAAAAGTTCAAAATCATTGCCAAATATATCTCAAATCTCAATCATGCATTTAAAACTCAACTTAAAGTAGAATGTAACAAGGCTACTTTACCCCCAAACTTAAACTGCACATTGTCCTCAATGTGCAATGAGAACAATGAAAGAAATGGAAAGAGTATACCGTGATGGCAAAAGTTAATGACGTCCGGTAATGATCCATGACGAAAGAGGTCTTCCCCAAACTTGGATGCAAAAACCTACTAGAAAAGCCACACTAGCAACTCACATCAAATATCAAATGGAATAAGTAAAGCATACATTCCAAAACAATATAGAATAAGATGTAAAGAGATATGATATCAAGCCCTTTGTAAAAGATGAAAACATGTATAACTAAGCAGAAGGGCATAACGGGGACACATATTTTTGAAATTTTGGTGATATGTTTTTTTTTTTTTTTTTTTTTTTTTAATTTCAAGAATGGGATTGATTTCCCAGTTTTTTTTTTTTTTTTTTTTTTTTTTAACACAAAGAAAAATATTCTAAACTAAAAAGAAAAAATATATATTAAACTAAAAAGAAATAAATATATACTAAAATAAATCAATTCAAGTTTTTTTTTTTTTACAAAGGAAAAAAACATGTATATACAACCAACAAAATAAAATAAGAAAAATGGGCTAAGTTTAACGTCATGTTACTGAAATTTTATTTTATTTTTATCAAAAATAAATAAAGAAATAAATAACTAAAAACACTACTACAAATTCTACTTAGCCTTTTTTTTTTTTTTTTTTTAAAACATCAATGCTACTCTTTTTTTTATCTATTTTTTTTTTTTTTTAATAAATCAATTCAAAATATATATATATATATATATATATATATATATATATATATACTTTTTAATTATTAAAATTTTTATGTTATGTTTTTATTTATTTATTTATTATTATTATTATTATTATTTTTTTATTATTTTATTATTTTAATTTTTTTCTTTTCTTTTTCTTTTTCTTTTTTTTATTTTTTTTTATTTTTTTAAATTTTTATGTATCAATTGGAACGGCGAAGCCAAAAGCTCGCCGGAGAAGATGAACAGCCGCGACCGCTGTTGGAAGAACCAACCGCCGGAAATCGTGGCCGGAGAAGAACCAGCCTTGTTCGCCGGCGAAACCAAGCCGAGATCGCCAGAGAGAAACGAACCCGCGACGCCGGAAAAATGAACCCAGTTGCGACCCAGCAGCGATCGGAGAAGAACCCAACCGCTATGCCGTTGGACGAACCAGCAGCAATCGCCGGAGAGACGACGCTGATGCAGCCGTAAACCAGCCGCGATCGCTGGGAGAAAAGGGACGCCGATGAAGCCGAGATCGCTGGAATATGATGCCGATGCAGCCGCGACCTCGCTGGAGAATAACGAGCCGCGAACCCACCAGCTGGAATTACCGGCTAACGAACCCAGAAAACGGCAAACGGCGTCGGAAAGACGAACCCAGATGCAACGCAGGAAAGCAACGAACAACCGCGTCATCGGATGACGAGACAGATCACCGGAAAGATGAACCCAGCTGCGAATCCGCTGCTGGGTCTCGCCGGCATATGAAATAGCCGTGACCCAGATCTGACGGCGGAAAAATAAAGGCCGAAACAGCCTTGATCGCTGGAGAACACCAGCCTAAATCGCTGGAAAAACTCAGCCTCGACGCCAGAGAAGAACTATGAACAGCCAAGAGAAGAGAAGAGCGAACCGTGAGGGTTGGACAATGAAATTGGGTTTAGAGATTTTTGGGGGAAGAAGCAGAATTTCAAGCAACAGAGAGAAATGTATTCGTGGCTTCAAGGGCTAAGGTGCGATCGATCTGCTTTGATGGGGGATCGACAATTTTAGGCAAAAAAATGTCCCCTTCACTGTTTAATAAGAAGGGAGAAACATAAGTAAAATGGGATCGATCCATTTAGACGGGGGATCAATCCACTTGGCCTATTTTTTTGTTGCTCTCTGCCAAGAAAATGGGATCGATCTCCTACCCATTTTGGGGATCGATCTTTCTTTTTTCCTTTTTTTTCAATTTTTCATTTTTTTTAAATAATAATAATAATAATAATAAAAATAAACAAAAAAATAAAAAATAAAAAAATAAAAAAAATAAAAAAATAAAACAAAACAAAACTAAAAAGAATATATACACTAAAATG